GGGTTAAGTTTTATGCTGTGAATTGTTAGTGTCTTACTTAGGGGGTTGACGATTTTTTTCTTTCACGTTCCCCAGTGGAACATAGGGGTTGAAGTTCTTGTAGCAGTATTTATTTTACAGGATAGGGTTGCTAGCTTCATGCCCAACTTTTTCTCTACACCAGCATTATTTCTGGCTTAGCGAGGTAAAGGAGTGCGTTGGCGGGGGATTGAAGCCTGGACCATGTGCATAGTCGACGAACGTCGTAACCGCTACCGACGCATGGCCTGTTTTAATCACACTAGGGCTATCAAATTTTCCGTCGACTAAAACGTATTAAAATTTACTCTGTTGCATACTTAATTAATTATAATAATAATAATCGAATTACGTGCATAATTCGCGAAATGTATTCACGCCCATTTTTAAATTGTTTTCAACCTACCCCGGTGATTTTTTTTAATGGAAAATTGCCGTACTGTTTATAGAAAGAGTATTCAAAACAAAGCTATTAGTATGGTTATTATTATTATTATTATAGGGCGTGTTGCTAGGGCTATTGAAATACATTGGAATGAAAATGTCCAAATTTTAGTCTACTCATACTCCAGTGTGTGTGTGTGTGTGTGTTAAAGGGACTTAGCAACATGCTTGGTACTGTTACCTCATTTAGTTTGTTGAATGATCTTAGATGGAAAACCCCTTCGTGTTTGTACACAGAAGAAACTTCTTCATTCCCTTCTTCTACTTTGGGTATAGTTCCCAGTGGAACTGTTATCATTATTTTGTTATTAATACTTGAAATAATAGAGAAGATTTGTAGCTCAGGTGGGGATGATTTGCAATTAAGTAGTGTTCTCTGAGCCGGTTGGTTTAGTTGTGGAGCTTTCGTTGTCCTTCTGGACAACATCCCCTTTCAGCGCAATTTTAGCATTATTATTAATACTTTTTTGACGTTTTGTCATATAACATTCAGTATCATCATCACCTTCATAGCTAACCTTCCATTTATTCTTCTCACCTATTACGTAATATGCTCTGGTACTTGTCTCTGTGCTCTTTTATCAACATCCAATTTTTCCCAAAGGTTTTCATATTACATATAACTCTTGTCAAAATTTATGCATGCCTAGCTATCACCTTCCTCGACGGGCAATATTAGCTGACTGACATAAGATGGATCAGGTTGGAAATGAGAAAGCTAGTAGTGGTCAAACGAAAACATTGCTTTATCTGTTTTAATGAAATCCCCTACAGTTAGTTTAAGGTAGGAACGTAGGGAGGTGTAGGCTGTCTATCTGTCAGGTTAGGGTCCTCGGTATGGTTAAGAACCAATAGTGGCTGAAGACAACTGGTGATGTGGCTGGCCAGATGCGTTCATTATGGGTAAATCTTATTTTGATAAAATCTCACAGTGTTATACAGTAATGTTTACTTATGACCACGTTTCGAGCACAGTTTATTGACGCTCAAGGTACTCACACAACTTTCTAACTTCGTTTATATGGTTCCGCTATTTTTCATCGCCTAATTTGATTGGTAGTAGTATTTTGTATATTTCCAGTATGAGTGATGAGTCACTCCTATTGCACGTGTTTAGTATAGTAGACTCGATGAAAAAGGATTCAGTAATCAATCTTTCTCCCTTTCCACCTAACTACATTACTTTTTAGAATCTTAACCCTCTCTCACCACCCAGTTGTGTGGTTGTGTGTTAATGCGTGAAGTGCAATTGCTGAGCTTTTGTCTAAATTACTCATCTTCTCGGGGTCAACCATTCTTACCTCAAATAAATTCTTATGTTCTGACAATCTGACTACCCCTGATCTACTAGTTTAACCTATGTAGTTGACTCAACTCACAGTCATTGTTAGGTATTTTGTAAATTATATTATTTTGTTTAATTGGGTTCACTGGGTCTTTTAGTCTACAGAGCTTGTCTCTGCCTGAGTGAGTTTGTAGGTTTGAATGACACCCTAATTCCTGCTTTATTGAAAATCCTACGTAGGGAGAGTTTCAGATGTCTCCTCCTTATATGGTATAACAGTAGATGACTCATTTTCTCTCTTATCTATATTATCATTACTAATTTCACTTTATGGTTGTGAGACCTGGCCACTGAGAGTGGAAGACATGAAAAGGACAGCTAGCTGCCTTTGATCATAGGTGCCTGCGTTCTATTTCCCGTGTAAAGTGGCATAATAAGGTGAGCAACATTGCGGTTAGGTGTCGAGTTCTAGGTAGGTGGGAGGGGAAATCAATCGACGAAGTCGTGAAGCTACAAAGACTGAGATGGTTAGGACATTTGTTACGTATGCCAAGCCATCGCCTCCCTCGACGAGCTATGTTAGCGGATATAGGGTCAGGCTGGAAAAAAGCTAGCGGCGGTCAAACAAAAACTTGGCACCAGTCAATGAAATCCACAACAGTTGGTCTAAGCCACGTTGGAAGGTGTAGACTTCCAGGCTGGGGTCCTCGGGACGGTAAAAATCTATGGTTGGAAACAATTGGTGACATGGCCCAAAACCGTTCTCAGTGGCGCAGATGCATCCACTCCTTGTGACTTATGATCTTCAATGAAACTGTTTTGTATTTCTTTATTACTCCTTTGTCTCACACCTCTGCTCACTGTTTCTATTATGCTTTTCTTGTACTTTCTTCTCTTGCTTCGCGTGCTACACGGAGTGTGGCGACTTGAACTGGTGCACATTTGTGCAAAGTTCTATGTCGAAAACAGACAGACAGAATTTCACGATTATTTTTATTTTGCTTTTTATCTATTTTGATCTTCCTAATGAATTTTCTAGGGTAGTTATTTGATACCAACGCTTCTTCTATCTGTTTCATTTCATCGTTTAGGTCTTTTCTTCTACTACTGAGTAAAATTGTGTTGTTCTTCCATATTACTATTCTTTTTTCCCTCACTCACACTTCTGTTTATTAACCTCCTCTCTCCTTTGAATCTCTGTTTACTATATCTTCCCTTGCTATCGTGCGTGTTATATGGTACTGCTGCAAATCTGTACACAGTTCTGCAGTGAAACCAGTCAGTCATATATAACAGTAATTGTACACCTAAATGGATGAATTTGCCGAAAAGAGACTCTTCACTGAAGTGTTTGTTCTTGTTTCTATGATTCATTTACCTGGAAGTCCTTGATTATTATTATTATTATTACTGTTCCGTTGGTTTCCTAGTGGAACATAGGGCGTCAACAGCACATTTCCACTTTGTCCTAATCTCTGTTGTCCTCTTTAGCTCGCTCTCACAATTGCCCTTAGTCTTTCACCATCTCCTCTTCGCGCAATCTCCTCTATATCACATTCGAACCAATGCCCAACTCGTTGTTTCCCATTAGAGATTACGTCTCGAGCACGATGTCATTCTAAAGTCTTTTCAGTGCGTGTCCGATCAATCTGCAGGCTATACTTTATATTTAGTCGTAATTCAATAATTTTCTAAATGTAACATTAAGAACACAATATTCAGTGTAGAGACTCTTTTTTCAACGAATTTCTTAACAAGCTGTACAATGATTTTTAAGAAACCTTATGTCGTGAGTAAATTTAAACAAAGGTGTGAATACTTAAAATTATTTTAAAATATGTGAAATACAGATGCAGTCAGTGCTACTTTATGGATAAGAGAATTGGCGCGTCATGAAGAGCACTTCGGACAAACTACAGACCTTCATCAGTAGCTGTCTTCGCTCAATACTACTCAAGATCAGATGGCCAGAAAAGATCAGCAACAGGGAGGGATCTCTTGGAGCGAACCAACCCAGCAGAAACCTATTTTGCAACAGGAGGGTGTGCAGGAAGAAGCGGAGGTGAATTGGCCATTCTCTGAGAAAAAAAAACCATCAAGTGGCACCACACGCCAGGCCATCACTCGAGTGCCACCCGAATGAGTGCGAAGCTGCGAGTTGGTCGTCAGTGCGAGGGTGGGGTGACACGCAGCGGGAGATCATGTAGAGAGGAGGTGAAAGCATGTGAGCAGACGTGGACCCTGGTGAAAACGTTGATGGAGAACCGGACGCAACGGAGACGTGCAGCTGAAGCCCTATGTTAAGCTAGGAATTAAAGGAAACAATTATAATAATAATTATTATTCTCGACAATGTTTATATAATGTATAGAATTTCCATCCAGGCCTTAATGCATAGTAGTTTCTCTTTTCCCAGGATCTTCAAATAAAATAGTAACTGACAGTAAGTCTTGTGACGCACTCCTAGCTAACCTGTATCTGAAACCAATCCTTTATTCATAGCATTTGGTTGAAAGCTAGTTAAGAAAAGTGTTAGAGTACATTTTTTGACTCAAGGCTGCAATAACAACTAAATCGTTGAAGACTGCGAGAGGTTAGCTTTATTTCTTAGGTAGTTGAAGTTCGGACTGAAAATCTCAGAAACAGTAGTTATCTCTCATGTATTGGAATATGTTACCACCGAGAATTATACTTTTTTACATTTTGAGTAGATATTCGCGAATCAGCAGGTTGCAAACATTTTCACATACTCATGAAAGTTAACAATGACAATGTAGGTCATATTGTGTAACTGTAGACAACGAGAGACTGCTAGACTGTAATCTGTATGCTGATGAACTTCCGCTTATATACTGCTGATAGACCTTATCAGTAGCACGCGCCATAATATTTTAGTAGATTGAAAGAAAGCTCCCTACTCACTAGGGATTTCAGCCATATCTAGACACCAACGAGTCTCAAATAGGACGAAATGTGCATCCTGGATTCCACTACTAGTCACCATCCATCAATTGACTTCAAATTGCATGACCAGACATCCTCGAGACGTCTGCATAAGGAGTTGACATGTCAACCTGAAACCGAGCACTTCGGTCCAATTATCAGTCGACAGGAAAGTCTAACTTGAATTATATAAAGCTCACTCCTGACGAGATAGAGTTCAAAACATTATTATTATTGTTATTATTATTATTATTATTAAGAAACCATTTAATGAAGCGTCTTTTTATTTATTTAATTATACTTTTCTTAGGTGCGTTCTCTCACTGAGACAGGTCTTCAACAATTGAGTATTGATTTATCTCTGTGTGAATCATTTGCACGTTCACAACCGGTTCCAGGCCTTGATCGTACTACCTTATGGTTAATTTTTGCTGATCTACGCCAACTATTAGACTTATATCATAAAGATGATTGGGCAGCGTATATTGCATTTCGTAAAAGAGTTGACGGTTAGTTTGTTTGTATATGTATGCATGTGTGTATATTTTTCCAATATTTCAATTCTTAACAGTTTTGCAGATTATAGATTAAAAACTTGCCTAACTTCTTAATTTACTAGCTGACCTGCTAAGCTGTAGAAAAAATGAGAAGGTTGTTTTTTGAGGGAATCCAGCGTTGTCCCTACCTGGAAAACAAACCCAGCCGAATCGTCACAGTAACCTCAAATCACAGAAAAAACTTAAGACATACTAAATAGCTTTTATTTCAAGATTAGTCATGAAAAAAGGACTTCATTTATAGAATCATTAAAAAGCAGGGAGTACTGGAGGGCTGTTTTGTCCTTGTCTAAGCCTCTTCATCAATATGCGTCCATGACCCTACCAGGGGTCGAAACCAAGACCTGCGGGTTATAAAAGGTGAGCTCATATACTTTCCGGCCAGTGGCGTGGCATTGCGTACCGTTGAACAGTCCTGAGCAAGGACGAAACAGCTGTCCCAGCACTCCTCGATTTTCAGTGATTCGTTGTAGACCATGTCCTGCAAAATCAACTACATCAACGATTGAAAATACAAAGAAAACTGCACAGACACATTTTTAGGCGAACCTAATTAAAGCAGACAGATCAAGGCGTTCTCCTACTGAAGTCAGCAGTGGAAAATTGCAAGTAACAACCTATAATGTGATTAGATGTCATGCTTGTTGTCACCTACCAGTCAGAAAGGCTTGTTTGCAGTCTCTAAGGAACTCCTCCGCCTTCTAAGACTCGAACACGTGTCGCCTAGTGTGTTGCACTTACAAATGTTATTAATGAGCTGTTCGGCCTCCAGATTAATCTCATGTCGGACTGTATTGAATACTGTGATGATGGCGAGCATAGTGGTGGTCACATCGCAAATTTGACTGATACAATCCAGTTTGCACCAGACAAAGGTCTATGCGAACCAGAAGGATTAGCATAGCTTGGAAGCAAAACAGACATCGACATGCTTCCAGATACCTTTGAAGGTTTGAATCGATTACAAAATACCAAACTTTACCCCCGGTGATATCAATAACCATACTGAAACGGTAGAAGACGGGAAACTTTGGATAAAGGAATCTCTATTTGGAATTCGGTACCTCTCTAGAGCGAAATTATGTTCATCTTCTCTTCATGACACTAGTTACACACTTACTAGCTAGTAGTATGGAATCAAAGTATCGTCTAGTTTACTAGTTTCCTGTTATGATTGCCTATCTTAAACTCCCGCAGGAAACAATAAGGAAAGTTGAGTATGTCACTAGCGATACCACTGCGAGAAAAAAAATGACTGAATCGCTATGGAAACTCTGAAGTTAAGTATACGAAAACTGGCCTACAGCATTTCTTTTCCTTTATATATCTATGCGAATTCATTTTCTTAGTTTATTTTAATAACTACATAAAGAATTGGGTAAATTTATAAAAAGCGATTTAAATCTGCTAAGAGATTATTTGAGCATTGAATCGTAATTTGATTTTCGTTTCAGTCTCTTTCGCGTTATGTACACCTCTTACGACGTAACCAATTAGGGTCTCATTTTGTTTATGGAATGTCGATTTTTTCTTAAATATTCAGTTGTTCAATCTGAGATTACTCATAGATTTTCTGATGAAAATATTCCACTAAATGAATTCAATGACGTGTGAATTCCTGCCTAAGGGGTAACTTTAAGTTCCTTGGTTTGATCTCTAGTACAGTCATGAGTCCGCACCGTTGAAGATTCCCAGAAACTAGGACGAAACGGCTGTTCCGTGCTCCTTGGCGGTTTTCGGCTGATTCGTTGGTTCGTGAGGATATCCACTGTGAAGTAATCTAGACGCTTGCAAAAGCCTAAAGTCTAAAGAAATATAATAAGTTATGTATGGCATTAAATGTCATTCCAATCTAAATTGCAGTATGTATAAACCAGGATGGGTAAGACAAATAGGACACTGTAAACTATTGACAGAAGCATAAAATATATCCACTGGATAAATTTATGTACATGCATTCAATGCATTGTGGATTATAGTCACTGCATAAAAGTAACCAGTAAATCCCAAAATTGTGGTATAACTGTGATCAAGTGTTGGTTTGCAGGGATTTGATTCATTATATTTGCGATATATATAACGCGAATTTAGCAGAAGTCGGAATTCATCGGCTGGCCAATGGATCAGGTCTCAGTGGCTGAATGGTAGTGGGAAGGCCCTGGGTTCGAAACCTGGCTGTAGGCGCCTACTTCTGAAGAGCCCCAAACTAGGAAGAAATAGTTGATAGTTTTTCAATGGTTCTCTGATTGATGTCAGCTAGTGACCATAACCTGTAACTGTTGTCAGTTGAGTTTATAGTTTATTAAGCGTTATTTTAATATTGTAAGATGGATACATTATTTCGTAATAGAATCAAACGAAGTTTGATTATGCGAACCAGAAGGATTAGCATAGCTTGGAAGCAAAACAGACATCGACATGCTTCCAGATACCTTTGAAGGTTTGAATCGATTACAAAATACCAAACTTTACCCCCGGTGATATCAATAACCATACTGAAATGGTAGAAGATGAGAGACTTGGATAAAGGAATCTTTATTTGGAATTCGGTATCTCTATAATATATAGCCAAATTATGTCCATCTTCTCTTCAGCGCACTGTATGCACAGATCTTCAGTGTTGTGGTACTTGTGGTTTTCCTTCATATTGTGTGTTTCTTTGTGTTACTTTCACGTCTGCCGAGTATCTCCACAATGCTGTATCATTTACCTTCCCTGACATCACATGTATCTCCCTGCTATTTGATGTTTTTATGCTGGTCGATGAACGTCTCTCTCTATATATAGTACTGATAAACCTTATCAAAAGTACTCGCCACAATACTACAAAATATTTTTAGCCTAAGACTATGTGTAAAGAATCCACATAAGTCTATGATACTGTTATTCAGATACACTTTAAATATTATTCTGAGGCCACTGTGTAATGTGACTGTTTAGAAAGTCTACGACAATAGTAGTATGAAGTTGAGAAAATTGTAAGTAAAACACAAAATAATTGAGCAAAGAGTATCCTTTTCGATAATTTCTTCTTCTGGCTCTACAATTATATATATATATATATATATATATATATATATATATTCATGTTTATACACAGAATATTCTAGAATAGTAGTCAATATCAATATTAGTGCTTTTTTAAATAATATCGATTTGTTAAGTAAGATCACAATGGAATTATAGTTCATTGAAGATGCTGAAATAATAATAATAAAGATATAATAGCAAATAGAATATCAACTTAAATTGGGAAAATTCCACAAAATTTCAGGATCATTCAAACCTAGATGACCAAGGTAAGGGCAGTGTCTGAACACTAGCTTCTTGTGGACACATAAATTAGGCTTCTTAATGTGGATCCCATCGGCCGGCCCCAACAATATTTAGTAATCGAACTCTTCAGGAAAAATTGAGATTCGTAGGTATGCGGTAAATGACTTTGAAAGCCACCTTGTTAACATCAATCTTGTGTTCTGTATCCACAAGACGAGATAGAATAGCTCTACGAATAGATTTTGTTTGTCCTTTACTCAACCAACCACGCAGGATTGTGTTAGGAAATCTGATGAGAAACACGCCTAATTGTATACGGCCTAAGCAGCTAACTGGCTTCACAGGAGGAGTTAAATTGGAAAATACACATGGAAGAGGCGAAATTAAGCCGGTTTATCTTTTACTCCTAAAGGTTAAAGAGGAGTGGTTTTAAAAACACAGCATAATTCGGCAGCAGGGAATGCTGTTTTTACCGCACTTCTAAGGCGTTGCGTCACTATATCTCGTTGATGTGTTGTCCCCAAGGAACTGCATTTGTAAGAATAAGGCCTTCCGTTTTCGGAACTGTTGGTACCTTGGGCTGCTTTGATTTTAGATTCACATTCTTATCAATAAACTTTTCTGGACAACCATTTTCATTCAGCAACCGTTGTAAATAAGACTAGACTAGGTGAGGCTATGAAAGACTACGAAAGGCATGAGTTCTGTGTGTACCAAAGGCTGAATTCTGATAGGAAATATAAGATTTTATAAGATCATAAAAGCCGGTAATCAGGAATTACTGAAAATTGGGACAGTAAGACGACAACAAGCCTTAATTCTTTATCTGAAATTATGAATATCGATTGGTTGTTTTCGTTTTCTTATATTATTTTACACATTCTCTATGGGATCTTTTTCTTTTTGAATTTTTTTTTCATTTTCAGGATCAGGAAAATATGGTAAGTGTGTAAAAGCGAAAATGGTATTTTGCATTGTTTTTAATTATTTTTTTTATTTATTTTTTCATGTGGTTTGAAAGGCGTTCATTGATCATAACCCCAACCTCTGGTTGACAAGGTTTCAAGCATATAAATTATTACTGCTCATAATCATGTCAATTTTAATCACACGATTTTACAATTTGTCGTCTTATATATATACTTCTATTCTGTCTCTCCAACTTCCATTTGTTGTTTATTGCGACTTTTCATATCACCGGTATAGACGGTGTGTTGCGTCATTTCGATGGCATGTGTTTGGTTTTGAATCGACAAACAAAGACCCAGTGATTAACCTCTCAGTCTCTCCTTACCCAACTGCTTTACTTTTTAATACTCTCTTACCCTGTCCCACCCTATCGCTGTGTGATTACATGCAAGTGAATGCAATGAAATAGCTGAGCTCTGTTTTTTCTAGGTTATTCAACTTAGCAGGGTCGGTTATTCTAGGTCTAGCTAAGTTTCTGTGTAAAAGAAAAGGCGTTCAGTGAAGAGTTACTCTCTCTCTCTCTCTCTCTGGCGATATCATTCTTAAGCTGCACAATCGTATATATATATATATATATATATATATATATATATATATATATATATATATATATATATATATGGTGAGAGCGGGCTGCTAGCCAATAGACAGGCATTAATTTACGTCAATGTCTAGGTCACTAATATTGGCCGTGAGAAAATATGAACAAGACTGATTCAACAACCAATCACAGCAGACTTAACGTGGGCAAATAAGATTCGCAGATATATGACTTAGCTTTCCGATAAACCAGAAACAACCAATCAGAAGACTGTGTTTGTCTGTTTGAATAACCTATAATAATGTACATGAAATATATATAAATACATGCTGATTTCCGTAATAAAACGATCTGTTGCCGGCCTTTGTCTTCTGTTGTTATATATATATATATATATATATATATATATACAGTTAGAGAACCATTAAAAACCAGGACGCTTCCTAGATAAGTGAAGGAGGTGACGTCTATCAAATCCCTTCCGTTGATGGTGACTGGTGCTGGTTTTGGTTACTGTTGTTTGGTTGGTTATCTTCATCACCTCTGTCTCCACCTCCTCTATGTTCGCCTAGAGGTCCTGTCTTCGCTGCATGCCAGCCTCTTCTGATAGTTTGTTGTTTTTCGCCTGACTGAAAGTCTTCGAGTTTGTGTTGATATTAAACACAAATCATCCACGCATGAAATCCAGATCTACTTTAATCTTCGTATCGGTCCAACGTATTCCTGTCTCCTCGTTTCCAAGCACAGTCTGATGCATAATCCAGTGCAACACGATTAAGAATATCATCGTCAGTGATAATAGGCAGTCTTGTCTTACTCCTGTATTCACTTTGAATACCTCGCTAAGTTTACCGATGTAGATCACCTGGCATGTGGCATTGTCATTTAGCAGCCAGGTATTGAATGAGGTTGATAAAGACAGACTTGGGAATGCACGCTGTGGTGTTGAAGTAGTTTTTAAATTACTTCTCAGTCAACGCTGTCTGTCGAAGGCCTTTTCGAAGTGGATGAAGTTAAGATACAGGTTTAATATATATGTATATATGTGAAGTATGTATTTATAAATAATAAAAACTCAAAAGAGTTGATTGCTCATAGTCTTCGTGACCACTTGTCACAAATTTTGGTTCTTTTTATGAGTTCTTCTTTCATGACATCTGTGTGTCGACATACCTGTGTGATAGTAATTAGTGTTAGGAAGAAAACTCAATTATATACGAGGTAAAAAAATGTCTTATATTATTATCGTTATTCACCCTTTGGAGCATCAGTCACATCTCTACGTCACTCTGGTGAGAGCTGTTAGCCAAAATTTGTGGACAGTAATTTACGTCAACGTTTACGTCCCCAATATTAATCGTGAGAAAAATGAGAACAAAGGCTTTGCGTAGGCGGATACAGTTAACATATAGATGATCTGTTATTCAAGAAACAGCCACAAAGAGATGCAAGGTTGACTTTCTGTGAGAAACAACCAATCAGAAGACTGTGTTTGTTTGCTTAAATAAACTATAATAATGTATATGAAAATCTATAAATATGTGTTGATTTCCTTAATAAACGATCTGTTGCCTTGTCCTTGGCTTCTGTTGTTACCACTCCACTCTCCGCAGTCTTTGTTAACTAACTTCACGATTCTCCATAAGCTTTCATTTCCTTGTCAAACGATCACTTCTTTGTCAGCTCAAACTCTCACGCGAAACTCGTCTCCGTTCCCCATTTGAAGTTCCACATTCAAGCAATGGCCTGGTTGTGGTGACATCACTCAACGGTGTCTTCTCAGCCCTTCTTGTCAATCCATCTTCATTTTCTTCTTCATGTTTATCAAACTGAAAATTGATTTCGAATTTTTTTCATGGAACACTCTGAGTGATTATCCATCCAGTGATACGATTGGTGCTGATAGAATAATTAATCAAGGTGGAAAGTTACGTGAAATATGCAAAATCTGCAAATGAGAAACTCATATCAAAACTCACCAGTACCAGTAGTCTGGCCAAGGCAATAGTTGAAATTGTGGGCTCTATTTAAATATATTTTTGTGATACATAAAGACTCAGACTTACAACACTAGTGTCAAGTCAGTCAGTGTTTCTCTTTCAGGTCAGACAGAGACTTGAAATGTCGTCAAATGCATTTCCTAACAGTTAGTTGTTGTTGTAGTTTATCAACAGTCGCCTTCTTCTCTGGTAACAAAGAACACTGTTGTGCAAAGAATCAACCAAAAACCTATTGTTCAGTAAATATGCTGAGGGAATTAGTCGGGCAGACGGGACACACTGAGGGACTGTTGAGTGACGTCACGAGCCAGGCCATCGGTGAAATGGAACCCGAATAGGGAACGACGCATTGGATGTGGGTCGTGTAAGGAGGAGATCAAAGCTGATTGGTGATTGTTGGCTACTAAAGGGGACTGCAAAGAATAGGATAAAGTAGAGACGCCCTGTTGAAGCCCTATGTTACACTCGTGACCCAAGGGAATTGAAACACTAATAATGATATCTAATTTCAGAACTTCTTTATCTTATTTCTTTACGTTCACAGTGGAACATAGGGCTTCAAGCTAGAGCTTTGAAGTTTCGGTAGCAGTGGTGTTTACTTTTACGCTATGGGTTCCTAGCTTCCTGCCCAACCTTCTCTCTGTACTAGTCTTATTACTGACTTAGTGAGGTAAAGGAGTGTGTCTGTGGCCGGGGGTCAAACCGCGCACCACCTGCATGGCTGGAGAGCATTCTACCAAACTGCAAATCGTTATATGTCATGGCTGTTATTAAAACTTTCATTTAAGAAGGGATTCTGCGTTCGTATATTTTATTACATTCAAGTTTTATTACTCAAACGTATGCATAAACCTCCTTATTATTATTATCATTCTTACTTTTATGTTTTTATTTCAATAAATATATAGGTAGCCCTTATGATCGTGTCCCACCGAGTGTAGCAATCAAGTTACTAGAGCGTGTGCGTGATTCTGATAAAAAGCGTACAGGCTTCTTACAGGCTATGCGTAAAGAAGAACGCGGGAGAAAAAAACGACTAGATGATATTATTCGTCAATTACGTGAATTGAATGTCACGCCTCGAAATAATGCTAATACCTAATAGCTAATTAATTAAGTAATATCATGCAAATGTTTCAGTGCGAAAGGAAAGTTTATTTTGTTTGTTTAATTACCTAATTTACTTATTTATTTATTAACTTGATAATCCTATATATTTT